GCTTGCTTCAATGAACCTTTTTGGCAAGTGCTCGAAGACATATTCTTCGACCAAATCAAGTTCTTCCTTTGACATATTCCAGAGTGGTGCATATCCCAGCTTTGCATCACCTTCGAGTTCAATATGATGGTCTGAAGGTCGATGGGGAGGTAGCTTGTCTGCTGCCATTTTTGAAAAAACATCCAAAAATTCATGAAATTCCTTCGGAAGGATCAGTCGAGAGTCAATTTCTTCAGTTTTGGTCTTGTTCTTGTGCTCGATTATGTCCTTCATTGATATAGCAAAGACTTGAGCTCCTCTTTGCTTCATGAGCATTCGAAATGGTGCTGCGCCAATCATTGCTATGGTGCAAGGTTTTGGTTTTTCCACTTTCAGAGCAGGTTCCGGAGGAGGCATTTCTTTGGCTTTCTGCCTTTGTTTTTCGCTTTTAGATATAGGCTCTGTTTCGAGGGCTCGATCTGGTATAGAATGGTTGCAATAATCTCCAGTGAAGAGGACTTGATCATTGATCATATCGAGAACAACTCCATGTTGCTTCATCCAAGCTTTCCCGAGAATGATGGAATGTTTTCCCAGCGAAGTGATGAATAATGGACATAGGCTTTCCACATGCTCTCCCACTTGTAGTCGAGGATATATAGCATGTGTGATAGCAGGGGCAGCCTCTCCATTGAATCCTTCAACTTGTTTTGGCTTCACAAGTTCGACTGGGGCTATCCCTTCGATTTCACATATTCTTTCTGCATCAGCAGCATTAATGAAGTTTCCACCTGTGGCACCAGTATCGATCAATGCATGGACAATAGCTTTGTATTTTCCTATTCTACAAGTAGCTAAGAAAGGGGTGTCCGGATCAAAACTGGATCTCGAGGAAGAAGCTGCAATTCTGGCTGCACTGCCTCTAGTGATGACTTGTCTAGAGGCTATTCGTTTTCCGAATCGATGATAGACTCAGCTGTAGATACCTCATTCACTTGAGCTTTGAGCTTCTGGGGACAGTCTCGAGCTCGATGTCCATTTTGTCGGCATATGAAGCATTTCCCAAGTTTCATGAGCATTTCTTTTGCTGGATCTTGATGCGGTGGTCGATACAGCTTCTGCGTCTTGTTTTGCATGTTCGAATCCATTGTAGGTTGAGGGATTGAAGTTCGAAGTGCCTGGCCCTGATTTTGAGTTTGGCCCATGTTGTTCGAAAATGACTTTGGCTTCCTTTTGTCTTCTTGTCCCTTGATCCGCTGAATATTCTGGTCGATGAGCATGCATTTCTTTGCAAACTCGTGAAGTGTAGTAGCTCCAACTTTAGCCACTAAGGCTTTCTGCATCTGTTGGTTGACTTTGAAGCGCAAGTCATCCAGCAAAGTTTCTTCAGAGTAATCAAGCTCTGTCGTGAGCCTTTGGAACTCAGCCCAGAACACTGCAAAGGTGTTGTTTCTCTGATACAGCTTTCGATACTCAGTTTGAGCTGTGTGCCTTCGATCGGGATCACTGAAGACTTTTTCCAAAAGTTCGAGAATTTCTTCTGCTGTCTGCAATTTGTTTGTAGAGTTTGGTCGAAGCCTTGGATTGACATGTCGAACTGCCAGTCCTCCCAGTCGACTCTGAATGTAGCTCATTTGTAAAGTCTGTGTTGGAAAATGATCAATGTTGGCTTCGAGCTTGAGGCGAATTTTCACAACCCAGTCTTCAAATGCTGGCTCTATCCCATCTGTGAGGATTGGAGGGTCTGGAATCCGAGCTGACAGTCGACTGTGAGAGTGGTGTCCTGGTTCATTCTTCAGAGCTTGTTGGGTTTGCTTTTCAAGATATTTCTGAATTGTTTGTTGCTCTGTGATTTGTTGCTCGTTGCTCTGGATCAGTTCCTGTAACTGGAGAATGGCATCATCCTTTTCAGCCAGTATCGAATTTGAGTCCTCTGCTAGGGCCAAATAGTCCCGAAGAATGTTCTTGTGCAAAGTCCATGCCATTTTCTGGTTGGCGACAGATAGTTTCTGGAATTCGTCAAAGGTTTCAACATTCCATTCAGCCTTTTCATGTTGATTTGCAAGTATAGATTCATGTCTCTCTTGAGCTGTTTTGCCCAGAGTGTGAAGGAAGGTTTCGGATTTGAAATTAGGATCATGAAGTTCATTGGTTTGGTTTGCAGAGCTTGGAATTGATGCTCCTTCTGCCAGGGATTCCTGGTCTTGTTCTGGATCATTTCGAGCTGCCATTGCAGCTTTTTCTTCAGCTGTATAAGCCATAGCGAGTTGCTATTTCAATTTCAGTTTATATCGTCAAGTCAGACACATATTGCCAAAGGCCCTATTGTGCAGTTGTTGGCTGTAGGAGCCACTCGAGAGGAGCGCACTTCCCTCACAGTTATATCCTTGTCAAGGGAGCGTTGTAAAAGGTCTGACTTGCGAAGGTGGTGTGTGTGTGTCAAGCTGACTGTCGAAAGCCAACTTTGAGAGGTTGCCTCGAGATCGTCCTGGAATCGACTTCAGGATAAGGTTTCTGGTTCTGGGGTTTTCAAAGAGTGGATTTCGATTTCGATTTCAGAAGAGGGTTCAGCTCAAAGAGCAGGAAAAGAGGTATAAGAGAGATTGAGTTTTATGTCACGGTTCACCAAGGCATAGGGCGCCAGTTGGGTATTATGAATTAAACTCAATCTAGAGAAGAAAGGAAAGAGAAGAGGAGCACTCGAGCAGTGGCTCGATCTATATACAGCTATTGTGGAGTGAATTCTCTTTAGCGAGACCAGTTCTGAGAATTCACTCCACAACTGAAAACTTCGCTCCAACCCCGGAAAGCTCCCCACACCCCTGAACCCCCACTCGAGCTGCAAGGCGCACTTGATATCGTAACACCAGTATCCACTAGTTTCTGCAACTATCCATTAGCCCCATCACATGGCAGCCTACCCCGCTTGCCCCCTGTGACTCACACGTCACGTTACTAGGCCCTGGCCCTGTAACCATGACATCATGTTACTGTAGCCGTAACAGGGTTGTTACGGTCGATCTCCTTGACAGTAGCATTGAGCGGGCATTTGTCCTGGAAATGGCCGGGCTTGCCACACTTGAGACAGTTCCCTGAGGGCGCAGGGACTGCGGTTCTCACACATTCCGGTATGGCTGGCTTGGGGAGGAACGGGGTCCTAGTAAACGTGGCCAGTGTGGCTCGAGCTGGTCTTGACGCTGACGCCTTGACTGTATCGGTAGGCCGTATGGAAGTCCTTGCGGTGGCAGGGAGCGGGTTCAATTCGTTGTTCCGGCGCTGTTCCTGATTAAGGCAGTGAGGTCTCGGACCATAGTGTGGTAATCTTCCTTCCATTGGTTTTTGATAACTGCAACGTGGCTATGAAACTGGGGGGTCAGTTTATTCCACATATACTGAAACCATTCTGACTCGGCGACTTGTCCTGTGATAGCTGCGCTTTGGAAGCGGGCTTTGAACGTGGGGAAGGTTTCGCTTGCATGTCCCTTCTCTCCCATTTGCAGGTCGTCGAAGAGGTTTCTGGCCTGTTCCATCTCGTTGCCTGTGAGATAGTATGAACCTAGTAGATCCATCATCTCGTCGGCGCTATGGAACCCGTGTGTAGCGGACAGGTATTGGGGCTCTAGGTAGGTCTTCGCCAGGCCGGTCGTATGTAATGGTGGGTGCACCAGATGTGAGAATCTAGCCACCCAAAAAAGGGGTGATTTTACTAAGACAACACACTTGTAATGGTGGGTGCACCAGATGTGAGAATCTAGCCACCCAAGGAAGGGATGATTTTACTAAGACAACACACTGTCTTAGGAAACAGAGCCAAAGGGTTGTAGCTTAGACTTGTTACGATGGAACAAGAAGGCTGGCCAACTACAGGACAGGAAGGAGGGAGGTCGCATGAGACCGGCCCTGGTACCTGGAGGGGCAGCGGGGAATAGTAGTTCCGAAAGTATCACGTGACGGACTCGCAGGATGATGAGAAGAGTCCTAAGAGTCCAGGACTCCGAGGACTCGAGTGAGTTCCCAGGAGTCCACTAGGCACGTGACGGACTCGCAGGATGATGAGAAGAATCCTAAGAGTCCAGGACTCCGAGGACTCGAGTGAGTTCCCAGGAGTCCACTAGGCACAACGCAGCAATCAGGTGTGTGATGTAGTGAAGTGGTTCAGACAAGTTGCAACAAATGTTGAGTCTGGGAACTCAGGGGTAAGTCAGAGGTTAACACCTCACTGACTTTTCAGAAACAAGGAGTAACAAGATGAATGCTTGGAAGCTTGTAAAAGACGTGGAAGTATGTGATAGTCGATTTACTGTATTGCCTGCTTGCCCTTTCTTAAGGAAAGGGCAATCCTATTTATGCCAAAGGAGTGTAGTTCTCTCATTTTCCAAGACTTTCCATGACTAACCAGGCTTGGTAAATGTATTAGAAATCAAGTGCGACCCACAACTAGCTTGCTAATCATGTAGTGAACATAAGAGAATCCCATAGAACCATCTCTTGGGTTCCTAGCCTATAGGAAGTTAAAAGGAGGTCCAAGGTCAGAGTACCTATAGACAAATTATGTCATAACTTAACCAATCTTGTGGGTAACTAAGGAGCGATAACGTATAATGAATCATAGAGGGTTGTAGAAGCTTCTAGAGCTATCGTTCATGTTCCTAGGCCTCTAGTTGGTAGAGATATGCCATGTGGTAGTATTGGCCCACCCCCTTAAGGAGGAGATTTTCTTAATAACTTGTTCAATGAGTGTCCAAATGATATGCCGTGATGTATGTAGCATAAACAGATGTAGTAGAAGAGTTTGCAGCAATCGTTGAGTAGTATTGCTTCTGTTGTTGGTGTGATAAGCCAAGATATGTATGGTGACTTGTAGGTTTGAGGAGGAGATTTCTAAGTTTGCTCTTGAGTTTGATAGCAAACTGAGTGCAACGAATGTCAGTATGACAACACTGTCTTAGGAAACAGAGCGAAAGGGTCGTAGCTTAGACTATTCCACAACGCAGCAATCAGGTGTATGATGTAGTGGAGTGGTTTAGACAAGTTGTAACAAATGTTGAGTCCGAGAACTCAGGGATAAGTCAGAGGTTAGCACCTCACTGACTTTTCAGAAACAAGGAGTAACAAGATCAATGCTTGAAAGCTTGGAAAAGACGTTGCGTGATATGCCTTGGAACAACCGCCTCCTGGGAGGCCGGGTCTTCTCGTTGTTCCTTCCACGTGTTTGAAAGCATCTCACCCGTTCTTGAGTCTATATACTCGAGCAGCATATAGGGTGTAGGGAAATTTGTCCTCTTCTGGTGGGGCGTATATTGTGACAGGGAAGGGTATCGAAAGAGGCTATAAAAGCACCGCCAGAACAGGCGGGAGAGGCGCACATGGAGAGGTCGGTGCTCTGCGTGGGTAAATTGGGCGAACTAGGCTCCAAACAGAATTAGGAACGGCACGGAATGGACTGTAGGAAGGTGGCTCACATGTCGGCTTTCCGAGAAGCCAAAGCCGTATAAGTGAGGGATACGGATATCAGGGCACTTATCCTGTATCCACATATATGCTCCCAACTCACAGCTTAGCTTCTCATCTACCGTGCCAGGGTATATGCTTTCGGCAAGCTTGTGTGGCATCGGACATCGAAAGATAAGTTTCTTCGACAAGTTGCCGAGATTTGCCTCAATAGGTACGCAAATATTGAAGCCGCCTTGGATCCATGTCGACTGTTCGAGGACAGTGTAGCTCGGCTCACTTCCTAATCCAAGGTGATGCTTAGCAATGGCTTCAATCTCTCTTCTCTCCTCCCAAAGTTCCTGCCGGAGCTCTGCTGCCGCAGGAGCGTAACCCAGCTGGTGAATCATGTTGGCTTCCTCTTTCTCGGCAGATATGAATGTGATGGGCTTGCGGCCATCTAATTCGAGGGTCGTCATGGCAAAGAGCTGATTTTGACAACCTGTCCTCAGGACAGGTCACGGAACGTTCGAGTTGCTGAGCATATTCTGATACGATGTCGATATGTAGTGTCAACAACACCGCCCAATGATTGCCGCGGTGCATCTTGGCCTCCAACCGTCTCTGCCATTGTCCAGGCCTCAGGCAGCAGCCAGTGGACATTGGACGTTGCGCGAACGTAAACAATGACTAAGCAATGTCGTCACGTTTGCGCTCAAGAACCACATGACTTCTCGGTCACAGCTCAGGCACATGGGGAAAACAGCTGCCTATTTCTCCACGCACGCGGCAATATCGTCGACCAACATGCTTCACCACAGCTTGCAGATGTCGTAACCTCTACCCGATCCATTATAATCGCTCATGGCCATGCAGCGTGATTGCAATACCGCTTCGACGGAGTTCACCCCGCCCGGTAGCGTCACCGAACCTTTAACCCCACCACCGACAGACTCAAAGCCGTCGAAACGCGTGGCGAATATTCTACAACGGTTACGACTCCAGGAGAGCGGTAGAGACGTCTTGCAAAGTCCCTGGTTTGCAGTGAAGCTGGAGCCTAGCGAATACAACGAATTGCTTCAGCTGCTCAAAAACAACGAGTCTCTCTGGGTGTTCAGAGAAGCAAAACTCAGGTATGCACGGTTCTGAATGGTTCTGAACCCACTGTTGTTGGTGCAATTTTAACTATTGTAGGTACGATTACGATTCTGCAAATAGCCTTCTTGTTATACGAATGCCCACACAAAAACACGACGTATTTATTGCGCGGGTCGTTGAACTGGTACAGAATAGATTGCGTGTTATAGAAGGCAGCGAAACCCAATCAAGTTCTTTTGCTCAGAAAATAAAGCACAATGGGTCCGGGAGATTGATCTTTCGGACAGCGGAGAATGGCAAGCAATCTTTTATTGAGCGCCAACCTGATGCTGAGTTTAAACATGAAGAGGCACGTTGGCCAGGGGTCATCATCGAAGTGTCATACTCTCAGAAGACCAAAGTGATATCCCACTTAGCGGATGATTACATTCTAGAAACGAACGGAAGCATTCGCGTGGTCGTTGGTTTGGATCTTGATTACAAGACGAAGAAAGCGACAGTCACAATATGGCGGCCGCAGTATGTCACAAATGCGAATGGAGACGTGGAACTAGAGGCAGCGCAGGTAGATTGCCATGTATGCATATTATAGCATCCAACTTTTAAAGCAATGCTGATTCGACTCAGATTTTCCGAGACGAACTTGGAAATGCTCAAGGTGGAGGACTAAGGCTTGAACTGAAAGACTTTGCTCCTCAGGTCTTAGCTAAAGATTTCAACGACGCCATCCTAATAGATGCAGTGGCATTGTGCCAATGCCTTGATGAAGCTGAGAAAGAGGAGCTAGAAGCTAACCAAACCAAAGGGTTCGTTGAGAATTTGCAACATGGGGCCAAAAAAAGACGTCGAGCGAGAACACCACCAGAGGAACTGGATTCAGAGGACGAACACAAGTTTGACGATGATGAGCGAAATGTCCGTGCGCGACTGTCCGCCGATGATATTTCATACAAGCCTTCTGGGACAGAGTAGGGAGAGCAAAGACAGCATAGTCGTCATGGACATGAATGATATTCCTCTGGCTTATCAGCTAAAACCTTGTGCTTTCTGGCCTTGTCCTCGACTCCTGTAGCCAAATTAATTGATTCTATTACTATATACTGCGCTATATACTGTACTCCATTCTGGGTCCCGATTCTGGAGTTTCTCAGCCAGCCCAAGTGAACTTTGGGCATGCCTGGACCACGATCTCCATATTTACAACTCATGCCTTTCTTGCTGTACATCCCTTTGTACAAGGTTCTTAGAACCAGTTTCCCGTCGCCATTGAGACAATGCGAAGGGCTTTCCGGAATGGTCGCATGATGTGCAACGCGCTCTTTGGAGACCTGCTCATTACTTTCATTGCCTCCTTAACAACGAATATATCGCAATCTGCAAATCCACAAACTTCAATAAAACCGGTATTCTCCTGGGTCATCAACCATGAGTTAACTGAAGAAAGTAACCCTCACTCGCGGGCTCAGAAACCTTTCCCTGAGTTGGCTTGGGAGGATTGCACCAGAATCGCTAAGAAGCGTCGCAACAGCCCAGACTTCCCTTTTCATTATATATCCACACCACGATTATTATTAGCGACGGCAGAAAGGGGATGAACTAGCGCGTTAGGAGCTTCGATCTCCAAATGCACGCAGGTATATGCTGTGCCATGTAATCCTTACGGAAGGTCTTCTTACAGAACTGACAGGAGACCTTGTGCTCGTTGTGAATATTCTTCTCGTGACGCCTGAGATTGTACAGCAGTGGAAAGTGGCGTTGCACAATTTGCCCGTCGACGGGCTAATCCGCTCGCATTTGTGAGGGCCCGCAAACTTTTTATGCAGCTGAGATGGCTGGCCTGCAGTTGCAGTGGTTGTGAGGGATGACGAGTGCAGAAAACGTAAGTTCACTGCTTGGATTTGGCCGAGCGAGTTCTCATCTTTGTCAAAAGAGGAGCTGTCGAGAAGCTCGAGCCGCCAGAGGAGGAGCAATCGAACATGGGCGCGTCGGTTGCGGCGGTGGGGTAGAGGAAGCTCTGATCGAAAAACATCATGTGATTCGATGACTGAGATGCGGAGATGGACATGCTAGTTGGGTCTTCGAGGCCAGCGATGAAGACGTCGTCTTCGCTAGCGGACTCGCCATCGTCATCTTGCTGTGCAGCATCAGAGGATTCATACACCTCCTTCATCCACCTCTTTAGCTCCTCCATCGGAGGCCAATCACCTCCATCCGCCTTTTTGCGATCGCGGGTCTTAGGGACGAAATGCACGCACCTTAGGTGCCTAGCAGCGTTATAATAGGCGTTGTACTTCTTATTCTGCTGATTACACGCCTTACACTTAACCAGAGAGTTGATAGGACGGAACTCCTCCTCAGTCCCATCAAGCGGCTCAATGCACACCCACTTCTTAACCATATCCTTGTGCTGGCGATCCCTATGGCGGCCGAGCTCATAAACACCACGAAATCCTTCACGATCAGGGCAGAGATCGCAGTAGAGGCGTTCGCGCTTGGGGCGTTGGGAGGGGGTTTCAGAGATCTGGGCGACGAGCTTGTCTTCCTGGTCGTCCTTGGATTTGATGCGGACGAACTGAGAGACGGTTTTCGCCTCGAGCGGATGCAGTGCTAGACCATCGTTATGGTCAAAGGTCTTTTCCTCTGTAGAGAGCTGGCTGTGTATAACTTGCTTCTATACCCCAAAACCCACAACGCTCACCGATACCTCCTACCTCAAGTCCCTCACATAATGAGTGGTCCAGGCACAGATGATATCATGGACGGTATTCAAAACTTATCAATGAGTAAGTCAAGTCGCCACCGTCCATCTGACGCCCCGAGGAGACGCCCGCCATTGACCAGGCCATCGCATACGTACCGACGACAAAATCCAGTCTCTTCAATATACTAACACATGGTATAGAGGTCCCGGATATGCAGAGACCTGTCGGCGATTAAGCGAGACCTCTTCCGCGACGTTTAGTGATGCTTTGCCCCTTTCAACCCATTCGCACGAGTATCCCTGCTAACTAAGCAATTTCCCATCCTTCTGCAACTAAATCATCCAAATGGGCAGCATAGCAGTTGAGCCCATCTGACAAGTGAAAAAAACCCTGTACACCACCTGTCTTGCAATCAACGATTGGCGCCCCACACATCCCGTCAGAAATAATGGCATTTACGACACCAAAAACTGCACTGACTGTGTCAACCTTCCAATGGCGGTATTTTATGTCAGGATGCCCAGGAGGACGCTTTGGCTTGATGAACTTTGGTGCATAAGCCATTAGAGAAATAAGACCTGAGGACATCCCATCTACTTCTGCCCAGCTTCCTGGCTTAATGTCAGCCCCGTTTAAAAGTACCCTTGGGGTCTCTGCCTGGAAATAACAGTCGTTCTTGAATGTCCTTAATGCCTCGGGTGTTAGCTTAACAAGGCTAATATCAAGCTCAGGCCTTGTATCGATCACTTCCCCAACCTTCTCCCCTGACGCTGTAGGATGGAAGACATCATTCGAACCTAAGAAGCCATGGTGTGAAACCGTAAGAACCTCGGTCCCGTTATGATTCCGGATCTTAACTCCAGCTGATGTACCGGCGTTTACTCTCTCATATAGAGAGCCTTCAGTGCCGAATCCTGATTCTAGTCGACAGCCAGGGCTAATAAATGAGAACTCTTTTAGGTAGTTTGTTCGGTCTTGTGGTGAAGTCACCATAGATGCTCCAGACTGGTGTTGGGCAGGATCGAACGTTCGAGTTAGTGTTCTTTGGCTCATCTTTTTATGCCATGGGGTCTCCTCGTGGTGATAAAGCGTCGTTCGATTTCCAACCGTTCCTGGTAGAGATTTTGCTTCATAAACTCGGCCATCATTATATTCCAGCTCAACGATCGTCCAGTACGGCATGTATATTATTGAGCAAACGTTGGCGATGGGCTGAAGGGCCTCAAGAATGGAAACATTATGGTTGACTGTTGGGAACGTCATTGGCTCCCATGACACTTCCGCGCATGGGTCTGGAATTCGTGGGTTTGAATAATGGTTGTCAGGCGTGAGGGGTAGCGGGTCTTCTCCGACGGCAGTGAACATTACTGGCATACACCCAATTGTAAGAGGTATAAGCTTCGGAGGGTTTATCGTCTCGATGGTCATAAACCAGCCTCCGGGTTGTGATATCGCCCCGTCGCCAAATCTTGCACGGAGCCACTTGAGCTCTTCTTGCGAGGGCATGCGATATGTCCTCGTAGTCGCATCCCAAAGACTAAATGGAGCATTGTCATTTATGTGTCTCGCCCCCCATCCTCCTGGACTTATCCATCTCTTTGGGCTTGGGTGGCCATGGGGAAGTTCTAACGTCTTGTGCTGTAAAAGTGGTCGTGATTTTAAGACTTCTGGGGCGTGAGTGTATATATCCAGAAGAGGACTGCTGCTCTGAATTTGTTGTACTTCTAACGGAAGCCTTCCAAAGCTCATATTGAAAGAGACTTTAGAGGGTAAAAGGCTTTAATGACTATAAGAGACTCGTTATCAAGGTTTTGGGTAGTGATGGTATGAGAAGGTTGTAAATAGAAGGTACGGATGTGAACTTGTCTTAGAAGTGGGGTTTATGTTCAGGTAATCAAGCTACTACAAACACGCCATGTACGGAGGCGTGTACCAAAAGTCCTTGCCGGGCTAACAGTGCCAACGAATGTGGCGTTCGGGGCTAAAAAATAGGGGTAAAGTCAGTAAATAGGCATCGTCAATTCGTATCTGTAATTAGTTCTGAAAGCGACTGAATCGGTGGGGAGTGGCTCGTTAACTTGCACCCCCACCAACGAGAGCGCCGTTCTGGCCGAGATGGTTGCCGCGCTCAAGACGGCTTCCGAAACGGCTTTGCAGATCCAGATCGAGGCAGTCGCGGTGACCGCCCCGTGGATGGTGGCCTTGGATAACCAGGTGCCAGCTGATAGTGTCGTCAACGATGCCCTTTTGCTTGCGGACCTTGAGCCGTGGAGCCGGTGGGCTGATGCACAGAATTAGCTTGGTGAGATCAATACTGTGTTGGTGAGTGAAGACCGGTGGATGTGTAAGAAGCAGTGGTGTGCAGGCCACGGGATGGAAGGAGGGGCGGCGTAGGGGGGTCCTGTGTTTTTTATCAGGTTGGTGACGGATACTTACCTCCATTATCCGGTGTATAGTCTTGATGGCTGACGCGTTGTTCGTATTGCAAAGCTTCACCAACCGTTCGTTGTATACGTCTTTCCAACGCAGTAAGTGCTATTACTTCAACTCAATGGACAACCACCTTGCATCGATAGACCCTCGCTATGGGCTCGACAAGGAGAGTCAAGTAACGTCCCCGGCACAATTTTGGAGTGAATTGAAAGCGCTTCTCCTTTCTCTTGTCAAGCAACACATGACGCGAGATCGGGGATCCCATTGTCAACTCCTGTTTACAGTGTTGGTAGCGGGAGAGGCAGCTGATACCCCTGAGTTCCTGGATGTCGTGCATGATGTCGTCCGGGCCATACCAGCGCTTTGTGCAAGCGAGTCTAGGACTGCGGAATGGAAGGAAAACGGCAAGGCGGATCACGTCGAGCTTGTGATACCGGATGACCGGACGTATGGGGCCTCCAAAGGAGCCGCGTTCTGGTTGCGAACAAGGATGGATAGGACGTATTGTGCCGAGGAAGGTATCTCGGATCAGTATGATATGATAGGAGATACTCATGTGGAGTTATAATGGTCTTTGTGGATGCTTCTACGTAGCTTCTATCCTTCTTGCAAAGCTTTTTCTCGGCGTGGCATTGGGCTGTCGCTTTCGCCGTTCTTGTCCCTTGTCGTCTCGCGCTTCTGGGTGTTGCGTGTGCATCGTTGCGCCAGTCACATACCCCAGTCTACGACAAGCCCAGTTGACCAATGTACTGAGGCCACATAGGGGCATGACCGAGGATACTCGTTGTGGCACGCAATTGTGGGCAGAGCTTAGCTGTTTTCTTAGTATCGAAATATTTGGATCGAGCTTACCTGTCCGCGACTTCATTTGTCGGTACACCCGGTTGTTGTATGAAATCCGATACGTGTTGATACGTGTAATATGGAATTCTCTGGACAACTTCGTAGAGAACAAACATTCTTTGCACTGACTTCTACAATTACAGTTAAGCTGGCCCATCTAATCTGCCACCTTCATGTCCTTCTGCTTCATGAGAGATCTCTTTTATCTGAGAAGAGAGGCTCCTATCTACTTCCTTCCATTTTCCGCCGCAGGGGAAAACAGCCCTCCGTAGTCTATTGACCCAAGGGATCAGCCGTTTATAATATCGTGAAGCCAGTTGTACTCAGGTAGCCTAGAATACGCGGGATTATACTGGAATCCATCTAGTAGAACAGAGATGTCATAAAAGGAAAGACTCGGGTCAATATCACATTGATACGTTCGTCGTCGTAAATTGTTCGAGAATCAAACTATTCTAGCGCCACTATATAAAATGCGATCATCTACAGGAGGGGAAACAAGCAACGTCATAGAAAGGAGCTGATCCAGCATTCCCATTAGGAGAGAACGAAACAGGTCCGTAGTGCAGGCTACAATTGCTTCCTTGAAATAAAAGCTCGTGCAGCTAGAGGTTGCTAAGCACTGTGCAGCACAAACACCAACGCTAGAAATATAAGGAGTACCCATAGAATATGTAGTGAGAACTCCTGTGCCTGATGCAGCGACTGGAACTCCAATCCATCCACAGTAGTAGTTGGCTGGTAGAGGTGATGCGACTGCGCAAGTAGCTTTCGAGGGGCATGAAAAGCAGGAAGCTTCATAAAAAGGAGCTGAGCCAGGATTCCGATTGGGAGAGAACGAAATAGGTCCGTGGTGTAGGCTACAACTGCTTCCTTGTGCGAAATAAAAGCTTGTGCAGGCAAGCGTATTTAGGCACTGTGCAGCACAAACACCAACGCTAGAAATATAAGGATTATTCGCAGTGTTGTATGTAATGAGTACTCCTGCACCTGATGCAGCGACTGAAACTCCAATTCGTTACTGCGCAAGTATTCGCGATCGGAACTATCGGGGGACATTGAAAGCAAGATTGTTGATAAAATGCTGTCGATCCAGCGTTTCCATTAGGAGAAAACGAAATTGGCCCATAGTACAAACTGCAGCTGCTTCCTGGAGTAGCGTAGAAGCCTGTGCAGGCAGGCGTATCCAAGCACTTCGCAGAACAGCTGCAACAGATGCGACGTAGGGACTGCCTGTAGAATATCCAATAAGTTTTCCTGAGCCTGATGCGGCAACTGGAACACCAATCCTGCCGCAGTATTGCCCTGATGGTAAAGGCGAAATTAATGTACAGCCAATAACGCCAACACAGACATAATCATCTGCAAGCAGTGTAGCGCATGTTGTGCCAACAGAAGGATTCCAAGCATAAAAATCGTCAAGGCTTATCCCGGCGCTTGCGGCGATTCTTCCACATTGATCGCCACTCTTGACAAGACGGAAGGCATTGCAGCTTGTCGTCATGCCTGGCTGCGTAGGCGTTGGAGTGGCTACGCCATTTCCAGATGAGGTTGTTGTTGTAATTGCAGTTGAGCTTAAGATGCGGCTCGTGACGGTATTCATAGGCGGAAGGGTTGTGGTTGGTACAGGCTCGCCATCGACCTCAACGCAGTATGATTGACCAGAGGTTTTGAAGTTCCCACATGTTGCTGTAATAGATGGATTCTAGAGTGCAGAATGTCAGCTACATATAATACCGCGAGGGAAGGTATGAAGGGACATACCCATCGAGTGAAATCTGCCAGAGTAAGGCCCCAACCGTTCACAAAATCCTGGCAGGTGAAGCTTCCCTCAGTATCCCACCAATACGAGCAGTACTTGGTAGTGTTGGGGTCAAATGGCTCTAGAGGGGTTGTATCACGTGCCATATGCCTTCCCTTGATAGAAGCAGAGGCGACGAGCGTCGTGGCGACATATGTCAGCACAATAATGCTGTTGATGGTAAGGAATGACAGCATCTTGGCATTGGTTGAGGTGCAGGGACGCAACTGACAGTTAATCGCTGACACAAGAAGTGGGATGATGATGACGGTGATGTTCTGCACCGGTTGCTGCTCTTATAAATACATCAGTATAAAACGAGCGATACCAGATAATGGTTGGGAGGCGGCCTTGTCGTCGAATGCCACGAACATATCATTTCCAATTTTGAGGCGGCGACGCTCACCCGCTAGTCCAAATGGCACTGTCCTGAGTATTAATCCACTTCAAGCTTAAGTTATGTATGGCAGAGCGGACGGGATGCCCAGTTCTCCAGCTGTAACTCTGATCGCCTCGCTCCGCCATTTCTCTAGCTGTCCGTTCAACTCTACCCACTTCTTGGTCGACAGCTGCACCAGTCGGTGCATCTCGAACGCACCGCCTTCAGATTGCTCTCGGATCAGCGAGAACTGGAGCAGCGGCGCGATACTATTCTGAAACAGTAACCGGTCTGTGTTATCATGTAGCAGCCGCTCGGGAATACTCTGTCTATCAAACATGCTCATGAGCGCAAGCAAATTTGCAGCTTCGGTCTTCGTCCGTTGGATTTGATCGAATGAAATCTGCCATGTCATAATCACCGCGTGCCTGATACTGTGATCGCGCCGGAGGTCTTTCGTCTATTTATTGTTCAGTAGATTGGCTTGGTTAGCCTCGCTCTCCCGGAACTTAGGTATATAGATACGGTAACCCGCTGCCGTCCGTCTCTTTCTTGCTCTTCTTCAGCCCGAAGAAGGTCTTGATGTTCTTGTGCTTGTTGGTGCGCGTATCTGTGTCTTCGTTGCGACCGGTCGTAGAAGTGGGCCGTAGATGCGACCATGTCCCGCGTGGATGCCCTCTGAGGCCATGGACGAAGATGATGCTGCTCGTAGTCAGAACGCGCTGTGAAAGAGGTGGAGACTGGGTGGGGTTTGTACTTCAGATCGCGCCGGTCCCCGCTAGCGCATTCGCTCTCAGAGAGTAGTGACTCCCTCCCGGTGAATCTTCGCCATAGATGCTGGCTCGGGAGTTGAGATGTGTTGAACATAGGCCGAGCTGTAATGCGATAGCAGCCAAATCATGAGCATGGGGGAAGTCTTGTCAAGGCTGAGCGCTTGGCGTTTCTGGTGGTCTCATCTTGCATCACGGTAATCCTAATCCTTTCACATCCACCAACCCTCAGCCGCACCTGTGGCAATTAAGGGAGGGATCCTTACACTAGGAGCTTAACGAGTTCATGGCCTTAATCCGCGCTATCTTCTAGTATCAACTAAGGATATTTCCAACTAAGCAATCGAGGGTGGCCATGGGTAAGGATGCTAAATTATATCATCGCACTGATGAGTGAAACTAGGGGAAAAGAAACGATTATCGTCATATCCTCTATACCACACTCCCATGGTTGAAAACTGCTGCCTATATAACTGCTATAGATCTTCAAATCTAACGCGTCGCTCTGTGAACCCTGACGTATTCTTCCGTCCATACACGGCGAGAGTTATATGAAAATCCACCCACAGCTGCAGCCACCCGGCAACAGCTCTCCGCCCTCATGTCTCCCCAACGCCCCTAATACCCAGCCGTCTCAACAGCTCCACCAACTCCCCAGTCACTCCCTCCTCCCCAACAATTGCCTCCAACATCCCTCCCACCAACTGATCCCTCACCCCAGCCTCCTCCACCAAACCCCTCAACCACGCCTCCTCTTCTCTCCCAAGCACAACACGGCTCACTTCCCTCACAAGCTCCCCAAAGAACTCAAGCAGCGTGACATGCATCAGCACATCGTCGTGATCCACCATTTCTACCGCAGCAAAATGCAACAACCCCTTCCCCGACGTGCCGTAGCTCCTCTCAGCATCAGGAAAGTGCGAGCGCGAGAGCGTGCTCAGATCCAGTACTGCCAGTGACGGGAGCAGGCGCAGAAGCCGCCCCTGTGCAAGCGACCGTTGGCGCTCGGGGAGGTAATCGGCATCCTCCTCCAGGGTAGCAGCGCTGCACATCGCAAATATCGAAGCGTAGATATCCTTTTCTCCGAAGATGCGGCGCCAGAGCAAGCCCTGCCCCTGCCCCGCCTTCGAAGGTGGGGGGAACGTAATAACCCCATCATCGCGTCGGAGAGGTGGCGCGGGGCAGTCCGTCGCCAGCAGTGCGCCGAGAAGCTGTGTCGCGCACTCACCGACCCCGACGGCGGGGCTGGCTAGCCAGGTTCGTATGAGTTGTGCGATTAGGTCGGGGTGGGTGGCGAGGAGGGCGACGTTGGAGGGGGATGAGGCGGCTTTCTCGAAGATGGCGAGGGCGAGGAGTCCGGAGGGGGAGAAGAAGAGAGGGCGAGTATTAAAGAGGGCGGGGGGGCGATGGTGAGAAGCGTGGTGAAGTTGAGGGGGGCGAGGAGTTTTGAGGCGAGGGAGGCGACGGGGGTGGGGTCATGGGGTGTGAGGGTGAGGGTTGCGGTGAGACCGGGGAGGAGGCGGTTGAGGAGGGGTGGGGTGTTGGTTGCTGTTGCATGTTAGCTTGGTTCGTGATGTGGATGAGGCTGGATGGGCGCAGGTCGCCATCAGGGACACTGAGCGGATGGCGAGGGTATCATCCCCCTCTTGCCCCGCTTCATTCTTGGAAAATGGAGCGCCTCCAGGAGATCATCGGAAGGGATAGGCCAAACAGTACTGTTCTACCTCGCCGACAAAAAGAAAGACTATCCACTTACGCGTAAATTGAAGCTCAACATCATCAAACAGCTTCGCATCAAACGGCGTCTCGGGTTTCTCAACGAGGACCTTCAGGTGCCTCTCCAGCGCCTCCAACCCATCTATCGGTGCATTCTCCATCCTTCAAAAGTCCAGTCTTATTCTTCGTTTTGCTCAAAATTACCTTCCCAAATTTCTCAATGTTGTGATATGTCAAAGGTGAAGTCCGAATAAACCAAGCCAGGCACACACGAGGCGACGAAGCCGAGGAGGAAGGCTGACAAACCTAGAATGGCAGGCGGTCGGGATTCTGCCGCCTTAGCCTGCGGGGGAAATCGCGCCGCCAAATTTCTCTCAGCCTCGCCGCCGACCTCATTCTTTCGCAACGTAATGGAGCTGTTGTATATCTCGATCGTTCAATGCCGCTCTTCACGGGTCGCCATATCTCTCTAAATAATATATTACAGCTGGTATACAATTAGACGCATTGGAATACCCCCAGCTGATACCGCCACGGATCTACGACTCATCCCAGTCATACCAGCCGGAATAACCATCTCGACTGATTAAAAAACCTCACCCACCCAGCGCCCCGCCAACCACCAAAATGTCGCGCGGCGGCCGAGGCGGCGGCCGAGGAGGCATGCTCAAAGGCGTCTCCTGGGAATACGATCCCACGCAAACCCTCGACTCAGCCCCCACCGAGCTCTTTCCTGTACTTCCCCCCCCCCCCCGCCTCAGCCCCCACCGAGCTCTTTCCTGTACTTCCCCCCCCTTACGCATCGCACACTTTACGCATCGCACAAGCTAACCCACCCACCACAGGAGTACACAATCCCATTCGCTTCCCCCGCCACCCCCACCGAGCAGCGCGCAGTGCGTCTCTACAAAGACCTGCGCGAGCAGATCCATCATGGCCCTCTATACACGAAGGCGCCGCCGCGAGACCCGAATACGGCGCCCAAGGTGTTCGGCGAGGAGCAGGAGAACGAGCTTTTTGAGATGCGGGGGCGCACAGACACGGATCCGTTCGTGGGTGTGCCAACATATACGATGAAGTATGACAGGAAGGAGAGGGCGATTCCTATGTTGTCAGGGAGGCCGTTCAGTGAGTCTTAGCCACCTTGGAAGCCGTAGTGGACGAGTGCTAATGTGTTGGACAGTCAAAGCTTTCTTCCCCGCGGAACTCCACGTCACGCTTGAAGGTTCGGATGGCCTCGCGGCACGGGGCACCATCTCGCGCGCCATCCGTAAGAAGCTAATCCTGGCGCGCGAACCGGGGCTTGCGGGCGCGACGGAGGAGGAGCGGAAACGTGCGTTGCTGGCGAAGCTGGATGGGGCGGCGGAGGAGGATGGGGAAGAGGAGGAAGGCGAGGAGGAGGGCGAAGAGGAGGACTATAATTATGAGGATGATGAGGAGGAGATGGGTGGGGATTATGATGCGGAGCAGTATTTCGATGATGGTGGGGAAGGGGGAGATGATGATGAAGGAGGGGGAGGTGGGGATGATTATTAGGTTGATGGGCGGGTGAGTGAGTTTGGGGGGTAGAGGTGAATTATGGAGTTATGAGGATATGTTTATCAATACGGAGGTACTGTGGCGGTTTGGAAATCTGGAGTGTAGTAGATACCTAAATCGGCATTCATATATATGATGATCGACTTACCACGTCCATCCGTATTAAGTTTATATTCAGATGCTTCAGCTACAGCTCTTGTTCGATCCCAAGGGGTATCTTTAATCCAACACCATTACGAGAGCGGGCCCGAAGGTAGATCAGTGTTTGCAGTTGTTAGATTGCGCTGACCTCCCCAACGGTGGTGTAAGGGTTTCGTCGTGATGTTGACATGTGGAAGGGCGGGGAACTTACCGCCCATAGTTCTTGCCGTCGTCTATCGTTCTTGATGTCGCCAGTCGTAAGAATGACAGGAACGGCAAGAACGAAGAATCAGACCACAATCAACAGCCACTAGGAAAGGGGTTGTTGTTGAGATATTTCCATTTCCACGTGTTGGCTATCAAGCTACACTACATACATACACATTCGTACACACACCATTTCCTTCCCCCTTTCCCTTCCTTACATCCCTTTCCTCTATATACCAGTCAATTACCCCAATCCAAATCCCAAACGCTCTGTAACTCCCGCTTTTTCCTTCATGACGCCCCCATTATTGGCCGTTGGTGTCGAGGTCTCATTATGGGCGGGGTGGCGGAGAGGGTGGCGGCGGGGTGGTGGCTGTTGAGTTGGCGCATTGCGCGATGATGGGTTGTCTGTGGTTGTTGATGACCTCATCATGACTCAGCGCCAACCCGGGCGTCTCCCGCAGCGCAGGATGAACATTCGAAATCAACCCCCCAAACATTGGCGCCGGCGCATTATCATACCTCTCCTGGAGCCCCTGTCCCATCGCCGCCCCCCCAAACTCCTGCCCCGCAGCACCATCATACCGTTGCTCCTTCGGCCTATACAAGCTCCCGGGTCCACTCGGCGACTCCCTCCCGGCCTCCGGCGCATCCACCGGATTCGCAGCCGCTTGCGAGATCAGCCCCGCGTTCTCCTCCCCACCATACTCCGCGGGGCGGAACTTCCGCCGACTGGGCTCCTCCGCGATCGGCTGGTTCATCGGAGGTCGGTAGGCCGTGTCCTCGCCCCTCCCCACCTCTAACTCCGCAGCATGCGCCTGCAGCGCCAGCGCATCGCGGGCGTCGCGCGCATAACTCGCGTCCTGCTTGCGGCGGCGCGCGCCGACGAATATCCAGCGAATGCCGCGCCCGAAAGCCTTAACGATATCCCAGGGGTTGAGGGCGTCGAGGAGTGCGCGGGCGCCGAGGAAGCCGCCTTGTTTAGGGCCGAGGTCGTCGGGGTCACCGGTGGGATATTTAGAGGCGCCGGACTCGCCGGAGTGGTGGGCGCCGGGCTTGTAAGGGGCGTGCGGGTAGGCGAAGATGTGGAAGATGGCGAAGAGGGCCATTTCGACGCAGATGAGGAGGGAGGGGATGCCCACGTAGAGGTCGGGGAAGGCGAGGTAGGCGTTGGCTTGCAGGATGGGGACGGTGGAGGAGGTGAGGATGGAGATGATGGAGGTTTGCCAGAAGGAGAGGAAGATGACGAGTTTGATGGCGAGGACTTTGGGGAAGAGCGAGTGCTCGGCTAGGTCGACGCGCAGCTGGATGTAGAATTGGATTAGGAGGTACATGGCTACTGTCACGGCGATGGCGTTGATGAACAGGACCTCCTACGTGTTAGTGGGGTATACAGTGGACAGAGAGACGGACGACTCACCCACATATGCGCGAACCACGGCATATTGCTCCCCACACAATACACATCGAAATACTGCGTCACCACCGCCGTGATCGTCATCGCGACTCTCACAAAGCAATACTGGTAGATACCCGCCCACACAATATTAAACCAGGTCAACCCGCTCCTCGGCGTCCGCCAGATGCCCCTCTTCCCGCCACAGCACTTGGCGAACCACTTGACGGGCAGCACCCATGGCTTGATGGGGTGCATGGCACGGAAGTAGTCTTTCTGGCTGTGTAGCGTGGGGGAGGTGTAGTGGCACAGCAGCGCGAAGAAGGAGGCGATCGCGAAGGCCTCATAGCAGTCTGATATGACGCTGAAGTAGACACTGTGGTAGTAGAACCAGAACGAGAGGAATCGCGCAATGGCGTAGACGGGGATCATTAGGAGGATGCGGATTATGCTGATAGGTGTTAGTCGGCCGTCACGAAAGGGGCAGTAAAGAGGGAACGCACTGTCTCTGCTCCCTCGGCTTCGTATAATTCAGCGCATGCATCCAAATCGAGTATGCCGAGATCAGAATCGCCACAGTCGTGCAGCAACCGCAGATAATCAGCCCAAGCTGATGGAAATTCAAACTCCCCGCCACCGGCAGCTCGCCCGTAACTGCGGCGCATTTGTTAGCTTTTCTCGGGAATACCAGGGTGGACCGGGGACTCACTCCGCAAATCCTCCATCGTCGCATTACACGTAGAGTTCACCATTGTCCTTCCCAGGCCCGCGGCTCAGCGCTCGTACGTCCAGGCGCGTCCGCTCTTATAAGGCCCTTGTATATTAAGAAGCAGTTCCGTCGCAGAGGCGTGGAAGCCAGGCGCGTTCCTGCCTCACTTATCGGCCCGGCGCACCGCGTCGTCTTGGGAGACGATGTCAGGGTCCAATATTCGTCTTTAGCGCCACCGTCTTGCTGCACCCGCGTTCCGAACGGGCCGCGTGAATCCGTGAACGCGTGCCTGTATCTCTCTCGTTCTCTCGTTGTCGTCGTCGCCTGCGGTGTGTTGTGATATTCGTAGCGTAGGGTAGATGTAATTGACAGATCGTGGGAAGTCGTAAAAGGGAATTGGATTTGGGACAGACAATCATCTGTCAGCACCCGCTGATCCTCCACGCGCGGCAGTCTGAAACGGTAGATATAGCACGTCGACGACGCCGACGCCGATGGCGACGCCGATGCCACGCAATCCTGCCACTGCACAGCCTCGCTCCTAGTTGGCGGTGGTGTGTATTCGTGACTTCGGTTTTCGCTCTGTGGTGGGTTCAGGTACTAGGTACCTTGTTCTCGTTTGAGAGGAGGGCTAGGACTCCTAGTAGGAGGGGGGGCCGGAGGAGGAGGAGAAGTGAGGTTAGGGTGGATTATATTGTTGGTGCTTATGTGGGAAGTTTATGGGATTACTCCGCATTACGCCGTGTTATGGGGGTTTTTGAGCTTCTTATTGGGTTATTCACTTATGATGGGCAATATTTAAGGCACGCTTTTATTCACATGCATTATCAGCATCACCGCTATCACCACACAGGGAACGCGGAACGCGTCACCAGATTTCCCTGTGTGGTGATAGCGGTGATGCTGATAATGCATGTGAATAAAAGCGTGCCTTAAATATTGCCCATCCCCATCCCATAGCTCCCTTTCTACCTCGGATTTGATTCCATTCGATTTATAGCATACATTCCGCCCCCTTTCCGACTCTCCCATCCAGTCCAGTTGTTCTATCCTGTTCAGTGACAGTCTGATCCATCCATTTGTTGTTGTTATTGTAAGAAATCTCGCTTTTACCCTCGCGATGCCATAATAAGCCCTTTCAAAGCCACAATTCCCACCCATCTGTTTCCATTTCCATATATCTACACAGCCCCACTACGCCCCCATCAGTTCTCATCCTCAACCGCCTCCACTAAGCATCCGGATTCGTAGCCCTCAAAATCGGCGGCCCCGTCCTCACCACCCTGCGCGAATAATCAAAATTATCCTGTATACTCCCCACGCTTTCCCGACTCCCACTCAGCCCTCCCTGCTGATACACCGGCGCAAATGGATCCAACCTCGGATCAACAGGCATCAACCTGCTCCTCCTCGACCCAGCACTAACAGGCGTATCCGCCACATCCCCCGCCCCGCGCCCCTCCCAGCCCTCCACCACCCGCCGCCCGTCGGTACCGAGCACGTACCGCGAGTTCTCACTCATAGTGCGTTGAGGGGTGTATCCCGTATTCGGAGTGGGAGGGGCCGGGCCGACGTCAGACTCAGCGGCGAGACGCTTGCGTCGACGGATGAAGAACAAGATTAGTGCGCCGATGAGGGCGAGGAAGGCGGCGATGCCGATGCCGAGGCCGGCGGCGCCGCCGGCGGTGAGGGATTTCTTGTTGTCGCCGGAGGAGGGGGAGTCATAGCCCGGGGGGGCGGTGGGGGTGATGGTTACGACGCGGACTTGGCCGGTGACGGTCTCGACGCTGGTGATCGGGGTGGGTGTCCAGGAGGTGGAGTCGTCTTTGGCGTTTTCTGGTGGAGAGGTGGTTGTTGGGTTCTGGGGGGTGTTAGTTGTGTGTTGAGGTCGGGGTGGTTGGGTGGGGGGAGGATAGGAGAGAGGTGGGGGGGGGTTGGGTTAGAGAGAGAGGGATGAGGGGGGACAGGGGAAAGACGAAAAGGCGAGGACGCCAAATATGAAAAGCGCATGCGCGGATTGGAGATGCAATACCGTGTGAGTAGATGAGCTAGAAGTCGTCGCCGAGACCTGTTGTACCAATGTCAAACTGGAGGCAACAGAAGCGCGGGTTCCAGACAGCCAGCAGGATAAGCTCCAACAGGGGGCAACCAACGATGGAAAGGGGAGGGGGACAACGTTATGTTAGGAAAAGGAGGATGGAACGACGGAAGGGGATATATCCGTAATAGGACGAAGGGATAGATCCATAATAGGATGAGGGGGTAGATCCATAATAGAACGAGGGGTAGGTCCATAACAGGACGAAGGGATGGATCCATAACAGGACGACGGAAATATGTCACAAGAAAACGCACCTTGTCAGGCTTTGCCGTAACTCCTGTCCCATCAGTTGTCTTTGTCCCTACGACATTCTTGTCAAGCTTGATGTAGCCGTATAAGTCCGCACCGCCGCACAAATCGGCGGGGTAGCCGGGACACTCATTGCTGCACTTGCTTATCGAGGCCGTGGAGGCGCCCGGGGCGTAGTTGGAGCACCAGCAGAGATTATCCTGGACGATGGCGAAGGCGAACGATTGCTGGCAGAAGGTCTGGCAGAGGCCATTGGACTGGTAGATGCTGTAGTCTGAAAGGGGGGAGTTAGCCAGGGCCGCAGACAGAGTGAGGCAAGTGCGAAGAACATACTTCCCGCCCTCGACGCCGTATTAATCCCCGCACAATAGGCTATAGTCAGCGCCTGCACCGGCCGAACCTGTGTCGTTATCAACACGCCTAGCGGTGCCAGACACGCCAACGCTACCGTCGCCGCCGACATGGCGGACTGCGTCCTCGGGGCAACCATCCGGACTGTGTCGTCTCTGTCTCTCTCTCTCGCTCTCTCTCTGTCACTACTGTGTTTGTCTCGACACCTGTTGGGATTGGGGGGAAGCGACGCGGTTATGGGCGCATCGATGCTTGGGCGGACACGGGGAGGAGGAGGTGCGTGATGGAGGATGGGCGCATGTACGCTCAAAGAGAGTAAGATGGCGCGGAGCCGTTCCTTTGTGTGGTGTTGTGTGTCTTTTGTCGACCGGGGGAGGCAGCTGTTTCGGAGACAGCAGCTCGGTGATAGCTCGTAGCTCGGTGATTGAGCTCAAGGAGGGTCGTTGGAGAGGGTTAGGAGGGAGAGCAGAGTATGAGTGGAGAGGAGAAGAATTGAAGGTTTGTGGATTTGTCTGGTGGATTCCAAGGACAGAGGGAGTATCGGGTTCCCAGCCAACGGGATGTGGAAGTAGTGTGGTGGTAGAGGGGACTTTGCACTATCCCTCATTTACTACCACATCCACATGCAAGAACGGCCATCTCCACCAGCAACTAAAGTACTGGGTACCTCAGAGTACAACAGGGGAAGGGAAAGGCCAGTTGTAGTTGTGGGAATTATTTTATTGTTAGACACGGGCTGGTAGACTGGGACCTGGACGGAGAGAACAGCGCCAACACGGTGATGATAGACTCATCAGGGATAGCAAAAAGAACAAAAGCTTCTTTCTTCTAGTCATAAACAGATGAGTAACCGCATCAAATCACTTCTGGTACTCTAGCAAGCTCTGACAGACCCCTAACCAGGCACCGTCGCGGTCAAGATGGCGGTTTGGCAACGACGAGTATACAGAACCCACCATAAACATCTTCCCCATACGAACTGTGCTATGAACAAAACACCATCCTGTCCTCTCCACGCCTCCTACGTACACCATCACCATCGAAAAGCCACCAAACCCACCGCCGATGAAACCACGCGTCCTCACTGGCTCCGACGGACGCACATCGCCCCTACCGCCAAGGAGCGCCGGCGTGGTGCGGACACGATGATGCGGGCACGATGATCCCGGCAGCGATGAGTGGGCGGAAGGGGGGCCGAAGGGGGGCCGAAGGGGGGCGGACTGGGATGTACGGTGGTGAGGACCTGAGGAAGATGGGAGAGAGATACGACGAGGAAGGGACGGCGTGCATATATGGGTACGACCGATCCATCACCTGGGCTGGGGATGGATCGGTCGTCAATTCCTTCCACCACCAGGTAAGACACCACCCATCTATCCCCTCCCGCCTCAAACCATTATCTCACATCTCATCTCACACACATCTCCAGCACGTCCTTCCCCCACCCCGCGTACATCTCATACCGCCACCTCTGTCGGCGTTGTTCGCGGCTCGCTGCGCTGTGTGCCGAACAACTATTTCTGGAGGCCTGCCTCCCCCTTCTCCTGACATCTTGTCGAGGTTATGTTCTGTGCCGAAGACATTCGAACATCTTGCGACGATAGCGAACAATGCTATGATGGCTTCGGGCCCAAATGCTAGACTGTTTCTAAAGGATTCGGATATGGCGAAAGGAAGCTGAGAATGATTCGGGAGGACTCGAACGACGACTCGGATACTTCGCTAGCAACGAAGAAATTCCGGGGTCCTACAACGAAGGCAGCCCGACAGGCTGCGAAAGCTGTGCGCGACGCAGCTAAAAAGCGAAAATATGCTTCTAAATCAAAGAATGTCACGAAACCTTCAGCACTACTACGCCGTGACGACGAGGATGATACTACTAGAGCTGGTACCGTACTTATTTCGGTTTGATTCGGTAGCAACGAATCCCTCTCTTAGTGTCTTTAATCTAGTGTAGCAATACAGTAAATCCTCGATATGACCGAAGCTTTTCCTTTCTGTTTAGCACCGAGTGCCGAAGCGCGCAAATATTCTCAGTAGCAACGAATCTTTCTCTTTCTTTTAGCAATGGTGTTTTTTCAATGGATAGTTTCGGTGGAATCGGAGGGCTCGGAGTTCGTTTGGTTTATACAGGGCATATAGGCATTGGTTTGGTAGGAGTGTAGGATATCAGACATCTGCATTACTAGCACATTATACTATGGATCTTTCAGTAGTACCGTAGCGTTGATAACTTCATTCAATACTACTTATGAACTATAATACAGTAAAGCACCGTTATAACGATTCTCGATTAAGCGATAACTTCATTATTGCGATATTTTTCCTGGTCCCGACAACACCACCATACAATTACCGATTATCACGATATCGCAGCTCCCTTCCTGAATATCGCTTTATCCGTGCTATGGTGTTCCTATTCAGACCTTGAAATGACGAAACGATTTTCAATAACTATTGAGCAACGCCGGGCTCTACGCAAGTGGGCACATCAACAACACCCGAAGCCTTCTCAAAAGCAATGTATCGAATGGTTCTCTCAGAACTACGGCCATAAACTCAGTCAGTCGACAGTTTCCGAGTCTTTAAGCTCACATTTCGAAGATCTAGACAAAGCTATACAACCTAGGGGATCACGACTACGAGTTGGGCAGTGGCCAGAAGTAGAGCGACTCCTTATTATATGGCAGCAACGAATTCAATCGCGTGGAGGCTTTACAAGCGGTGATATACTACAAGAAAAGGCTCGAGAGATTTGGCAACAACTACCGAACGACGATAATCTACAATGCCCAGACTTCTCAACTGGCTGGCTCCATCAATTTAAAGCACGATATCATATCAAGGTCCATACAAAACACGGCGAAGGAGGCTCTTGTCCAGAAACAGCAGAGGAGGAAATGAAGGCTCTACGAACTATCGCTGGTGAATTTCAAGAGGAGGACGTTTATAATATGGACGAGACAGGCCTATACTGGAAGATGATGCCGTCTCGAGGGCTTGCAACACAAACGCTTCCAGGATTAAAGAAGGAGAAAACTCGAATGAGCCTCGTCTTTTGTGTTAATGCTTCTGGAACTGATCGCCTACCTGTGTGGATGATTGGACAATATAAACAGCCACGCGCACTTCGAAATATCGATATACCATCAATGGGAGGGCAATGGCGTGCGAGCCAGAAGGCTTGGATGAATACAACAATTATGAGCGAATGGCTTCACGTGTAACGCTGACTTCTAAACGATAGAAGACACAGAGGTTCTCTTGCGTAAAGGTTTACTTATCAGAGGAGGCAGGGGATCAGACACAAAGGCTTCAAGTAACACGTTACTAGTATATAACAAATACTGTATTGAGTTGAGCACGAAGCTCCTATCTAAGGAAATACTATCTACTTATATAGTGGCGTCGTGCCTAGTGGACTCTTGGGAACTCACTTGAGTCCTCGGAGTCCTGGACTCTTAGGACTCTTCTCATCATCCTGCGAGTCCGTCATGTGATACTTTCGGAACTACTATTCCCCGCTGCCCCTCCAGGTACCAGGGCCGGTCTCATGCGACCTCCCTCCTTCCTGTCCTGTAGTTGGCCAGCCTTCTTGTTCCGTCGTAACACTCGCTCCCTTCCCCTGGGCATTCGTCTCGAATCCTATAAGTACGTCCATGTCCCCGGGACTCTGCTGCTCCTCAGCGAGTCCTTCAACATGCAACATGCCTACTGACACTGCCCGCAAACTCCAGGAACGCAACGATCTTGTCCGTCGAATAAAGAACCACGGATACGAACTACCCGAAATGGATTCTTGCTCGAACTGCGTGAGGCGAAACATTACTTGCGTGTCGTCTCCAAATGATTCACGGCGGTGCGCCGAGTGCGTTCGTCGCAACTTGAAAGAAAAGTGTGACTGTATGGGTCCTGAGCATCCCGACTGGGTGAAGCTCGAACGGGAGGAGGATCGCCTGGATCGCGAAGAGGAAGAAACCCTTTCGAAGTTACTTCGTCTGCGGAAGCAGAAACGCCTCATCCGAACCCGTGGTAAAGATATGCTCCGACGAGGTTTGAAAACCCTCGACGAGCTTGATGCGGCAGAGGAGGCCGAACGTGTGGCTGCTGAGAAACGTGACGCTGTTGAGGCTGAGGAACAGGCAGTTAGCGCTGCCTCCTCGTCTGTGACCGGGACCCCCGCTTCCTCCGATCCACTGGCCTACTCCCCTGCATCTTGGGATCAATGGCTGGCGGATGGCGGCGTCGATATTCCTCCAGCAGTTCTTTGCTGATGTTCCTTGTTGGTTCCCACGAATTATCCGTAGGTTCGTAATTTTCCCATTTTATCAAAAACTCTTCTCGACGTCCTACTAACCTTCTGTCTAGGATCGCTTCGACCTCATATTCGATTATCTCATTCTCGGGTTGGAGTTCGGTGTCGGTCGCAATTGGGGTATTTCCTCTTGCTGGTTCCAGTAGTGAGACATGAAATACCGGGTGTAGTCTAGACTTCCTGGGTAGCTGCAGTCTGTAATTAACTGAGCTGACTTTGTTCAATATTTTGAATGGTCCCAATTTCTTGAAGTCCAACTTTGTGCTTGGTCGTTTCGTTTTGATATGTTTCCGGAGTAGGTATACTTTATCCCCCTCCTTGAAGGCAGGTTCCATACTGCGCTTCTTGTTTGCGTATGCGGCAGATCGTTCATTTAAGAATTGGATGTCCGTCGCAAGTTGTTCGTGGAACGATTTCAGTTGTTCCACCACGATCAGGGCTTGTTCAGCTCGTGATTCATCCGGTCTTGGTTGCCTATATGCTTCTGGCTGGTAGCCATAATTGGCAAAGAACGGTGAGACTTTCGTTGCTTCTGTCATCGCGCTGTTATATGCAAACTGTGCGATGGGTAAGATCTGAACCCAGTTATCCTGTTGATGATTGACATAGCTTCGCAGGTACTGTTCAAGGGTCTGATTTAATCTTTCTGTTTGGCCGTCTGTCTGGGGATGAAAAGCTGTTGATAGCTTATGATTTGTTCCCAGTAGCGCCATCAATGATTTCCAGAATTTCGAAGTAAAGAGCTTGTCTCTATCTGAGATGATTTCTTCTGGCATCCCATGATCGGCTAATATGACTCGAATGAAGGTATATGCGAGCGCCTCGGCGTCGCTAGCTTCTAGATATGGTATAAACTTCCCATATTTCGTGAGTCTTTCCGTGATGACGAGGATAGAGTCGTATTCTATTCCTGTTAACGGGTCCTTGGAGGGTGGAAGCTTGACGATGAAGTCCAAAGCTATTGATTTCCATGCTCCTTTTGGTACTGGTGTCGACTTGAGTTGTCCATATGGCAGATGCCTATTGGATTTTGACTTGCTGCAAATGTCGCACTCTCTTACCACTGTCTCTACCTGCTTCCTCATACCTGGGAAGTAGTAGTGTCGAGTGATTCGTTCGAAGGTTCGTGTTACTCCCTGATGACCGTGTGCTGGTAACGAGTGTTGTTCTTGCACCAGCGGGCGTCTCATTTGACTTGGGACATACACTAACCCTTTGTATCGAATCAATCCTTGTTCGTCGATGGTGAAGTCGCCTTCGACTTTGGACAAGACTCGCTTGGCGCATTCGTCTGTTGCGTAAGCTTTCTTGAGTCTTTCCTCGAGTTCTGTATCTTCGATGACTGAGATCGTCGCTAGTAACTCGTTGTACTGTATTCCTGCATCTGTTTTCTTCAGAATTGCTCTAGGTCTTTCTTCCTTTGGGCCGGCGTAGTCAGTCCGTCTGCTGAGAGCATCTGCTCTTGCATTCTCGGAGCCCTTGCGATAGGTTATCGTGAAGTTGTAGGCTGCGAGGGTTTCTGCCCAGCGGACTTGTCTGCGGTTTAAAACCTTGGTCGTGGTGAAATATATGAGGTTCTTGTAATCCGTCCATACCTGCACAGGGTAGGTGGATCCCTCAAGATATACTCGCCACTGCTCAAAGGCAACGACAATAGCCAGTAGCTCCTTGTCGTGGATGTCGTAATTGAGTTCCGCGGGTGACAGTTTCCTAGAGTAGTACGCGATTGGTTTGAACTTACCGTTCTCGTCTGGTTGATTCAGACATGCTCCAATTGCGAAGTCAGAAGAGTCCATTTCGAGGATGATCTTCTTTGCAGGGTCAAATGTAGCAAGGATAGGTGCTTCCGTGAACTTCGTCTTAAGTTCCTGGAAAGCAGCCTCTGCCTTGTCCGTCCATTTGAATTCGAGATCCTTTCTGGTAAGCTCCGTGAGTGGTTGAGCTACCTTGGAATATCCCGAGATGAATCTTCGGTAGAAGTTGGCGAAGCCTAGGAAGGCTTGCACTTCCTTGACCGTGGTCGGTGTTGGCCATTCCAACACTGCCGTTACTTTTGCTTGGTCCATCTTGATGCCGTGCGTTCCAATAATGTAACCCAAGAATTCGACTTGGTTTTTATGGAACTCGCACTTCTCTGGTTTGAGGAGTAAGCTGTACTCCTTTAGTTTCTTCAGGACGAGTTTGACATGCTTGACATGCTCCTCCTTGGTTGCTGAATACACCAGGACATCGTCTAAGTAGACAATGGTAAAGATGTCTAAGTATTCGTGCAAAGCATCATTCATCAGTCGTTGCATAGATGCGGGTGCATTTGTTAGCCCAAAGGGCATGACTTGATACTCGAATAGGCCATAGCGGGTGCGGAATGCTGTTTTCCACTCTTCCCCAGCCTTGATTCGGATCAGGTTGTATGCTCCTCGCAGATCTAGCTTACTGAAGATCTTTGCTCCTTGAAATCTATCGTGTAGTTCGTTGATTAACGGCAGGGCATACCTGTCCTTGATTGTGATGTTGTTCAACGCTCGATAGTCCACACATAACCGTAGGGAGCCGTCTTTCTTTGGTACGAAAAGCACCGGACTTCCTGCTGGTGATGTGGATGGTCTGATGAATCCTTTCGCTAGGTTATCATCGATGTACTCCTTAAGTACCTTCAGCTCCTTTTCCGATAGCTGATATATTGGTCCGAACGGTGGACTCTTGTCTTTCTCCAAAGGTATCTCGTGATCCCATGGTTGGTGCTTAGGAAGCGCCTCGTTCTTAGGGCCTTCCTGGAATAATTGCTCGTATTCCTTGTACTCCACCGGTATACTCGTCGGTGAGGATGCCTGGGCTAGGTCATCGAGCTCGGAGGTTGCACATAACTCCTTCCGGCCCTGGGAGGGTTTCTCCCGTTGTCGCGTGTCCGTCCGTTGTTCACACGCGCACTGGCTCATCACAACTTTCTCGTTCCACCAGTCGATCTGGGGGTTGTGTTTCTTGAGCCATGGCATACCAAGGATGCACGCATGGTTGTCCATGTGCACGATGTCAAACTGAATCGTTTCCTTGTGCCCGTGTAGCATGACCATTTCCAATGGGACCGTTTCGTGGGTCACCATTCCTTCATTAGTCGAGATGGGCTCTCCATCTACGACCATTAATGGGTATGGTTCGGTTTTCAATTGCGTCTTGAAACCTTGCGTGTCTGCTACTTTCTTTGTCATAAAGTTGCCCGTCGCTCCTGAGTCAATCATTGCTCGGAGGTGTCGCTGTTGTATCTTAGCGACCACATATAGTTGCATGCTGCCCGTCGTGGCGCATAGCTGGTCTGTACTAGGCCTCTTCGTGTCGCTCGCCGGTGGCCTACCGTCGAGGACTCCTAGTTTTTTGACTCGTCCGAGGAAGGATAGTATTCATCCGCTTCCAATGGTGGTCCTTGGGGAGATCGTTTCCCTCGCTCTTCTGCTTCGTCTAGCAGATGTGGGTATTTCTTGTATACCTGTTCGCTTTTGATAGGCAAGTCTCCTTCAGACTGGCTTCGCCTGAGGGCGTGAACTTGCTCTGCGTCTCTGAAGTGTATCCTGGGCGAGGATCGGGGAAACAACTGATTCTGGTGTTTCTTTTTCCAGTGGAGCTTGCAGTCATCTTCGCTGCAATACTCCCAGTAGACATACGCATGCCAGGGATGATCAGTCTCTGTTGCGTCTGTCGTTGATAGTTCCTGCTGTCCTCTCACCCATGCACTATCTTCCCTCGGAGGCGTGGAGAACGTGTCTAGTTGCTCCATGGCTCTCCTTTCGATGCGTGGAGTGGGTCTCGCATTTTCCCGTCGGAGCATATCTCTGGCTTTCTCGTCGTACTTCTTCAGGGCTCTCCTGCGGTCCTGGTAGTAAAGTGTGACGCTTTTCATATACTTCAGTTTAGCCATATGCTCGACATCCTTCTCCAGTTCTTCCGCTTCTTGGGCTTCCAACTTAGCTACGTCTTGGGACGTGCCAAGCAGCCTGCGGGTATTCGTTAGTTGGTCGTAGTATCTCCAGAGGTCATCCTTGCAGTCGTCCACCTTGCACTTTAACGGAAGTTCCTGTAACAGGTTCCCGTAGAGGTCTTTAAGCATGGGGATTCTCCTCTGGCCATTGGGCTTGTCTCGTTCGGCCCTAATCTTCGCGTGGGCGTGTTTTGCCATGCGTCTTACTACGTTCTTGCACCGTGGACTCATTGGTTCCGTAGGTGCGAGTTCATCGAAGGTCTCCTGTTCCGAGACGGTGAACGATTCCGCCTCCGACCCTTCATCTGAGCTCTCGTCTTCTGGGGTGCTTTCGCCGTTTATTCCCCAGTCCTGTTTGCTCACAAACGTTGCGTTCAACTGTCCTGTCCAGGTGGCATTGAGTTGTTTGCTGACTTTGCGTCCGCCGTTCCCTTTCTTTGGCTGTCTGCAGTCTCGGGCCATGTGGCCTGGCTTGTCGCAGTTAAAACAGAGTCGTTCCTTGAATTGTCTGTCTTTCTTAGGGTCACGGGGTCGTCCAGGTTTGAACGTGGCATCGAGTTCCATTGGGTCCGACCAACGGTTGTCTCGCGGGTGTTGATCCCGTCGTCTGCCCTCGTTTCCCCGGTAGGGGTAACTTTTCTTGGGCTTGTCATAGGTCCGACGTTCCTTCTGGAATTCGTATAGTCGATTGTCGATTCGGACCGTATGTTCGATTAGCGCTACCATGTCCATTGGTTGTTGTTCCAAACGGGCAAGTTCCATACGTATATGGCTCTTCAGCCCACGTCGGTAGTGGCTGATGAGTGCGCTGGCGTCCCATCCTGTCTGATTGCCGTATCTCTGGAATTCTGTGGAGTATGTGAGGGCGCTGCCAGTCTGCTTAAGTGCAAACAGATGGTCTTCTGCGGTCTTAATCTCATCGATGTCTCCGAACATGCGTCGGATTTCCTTACAGAATCCATTCCAGCTGCCAAACATAGTCTGCGTAGTTGTCATGCTTCCATTGGTACTTTCATATTTGAAATAGTCCTTGAGGAATGGTTCGATCCATCGCAGGGCTTCCCCCCTAAGGTAGGACGCAGTCCACAGGGCATAGCTCTCCTGGGTGGGAAACTTCTCATCATTGAAGTGCTGGTACAGTTCGACCTGTAGCAAAAACACCTCAAGTTCCTTTCGGTTGCCGGAGTAAGTGTCGGGCAACTTGACGCGTAGAGTTTCCTTGAGTTCGTTGACGGTGGGTGCATCGGGCATCTCTTCATTCTCAGGCTTAGACCTCTGAGACGAAGTTGGCGTGGTGGGGGTTTTCCCCTTCGAACTGACGACAGACATGTTGCTTTGTGTGTAAGCCGGTACCTCGTAGAAGTGGTGCTCAAAGTGTAACGCTGACTTCTAAACGATAGAAGACACAGAGGTTCTCTTGCGTAAAGGTTTACTTATCAGAGGAGGCAGGGGATCAGACACAAAGGCTTCAAGTAACACGTTACTAGTATATAACAAATACTGTATTGAGTTGAGCACGAAGCTCCTATCTAAGGAAATACTATCTACTTATATAGTGGCGTCGTGCCTAGTGGACTCTTGGGAACTCACTTGAGTCCTCGGAGTCCTGGACTCTTAGGACTCTTCTCATCATCCTGCGAGTCCGTCACGTGATACTTTCGGAACTACTATTCCCCGCTGCCCCTCCAGGTACCAGGGCCGGTCTCATGCGACCTCCCTCCTTCCTGTCCTGTAGTTGGCCAGCCTTCTTGTTCCGTCGTAACATCACGCTTTCTATCGACATATTGGAACGACTCGACAAGTTCTTCTTACGATGGATAACTTCTCAGCTCATAACACTGCTCTTGAGCTTTGTCCTCCTCCAACGAACATACATATTTGTTGGCTTCCTGCTAACAGTACTAGTCGATTCCAGCCCCTTGATCAAGGCATCATTCAATCATTCAAATGCAATCATCGACGACAGTGGCTCTCTTTTATGCTTGATGCTTTTACCTCAGATCGAAACCCACTCGAATCGATGAATCTACACTTTGCGGTCCGATGGATTCTACGGAGCTGGAATCATTTTGTCACAAATACAACAATCTATAACTGTTTTCAAAAATCTACACTTGTCAGCATTCCGATTGCTCTTCCGATTCCAATTACTCCTCCAGGTATCAACGAACTCTATGAACAAGTTACACGAGCTGGCAATATTCATGACGTTATGGCAATTTCTAACTTTCTAAACCCAAGCGACGAAGAAAGGGATATACAAGATGGGACACCAAGTGAGGACGAGATTCTACAAGAGGTTATTGATGAGCATCTAGGTCTTCAGCAAACTCAAGATGATGATGAAGAAGAGTTGCAAGAGCGCTCTTTACATTCTGTGAAGAGCGCTCGTCAAGCACTCCAGGTTCTGATTGAGTTTACTGAAGAACAAGAGGCTCTTCAATCGGACTATTTACGAGGCCTCGAGCGTTTAGAATTCACTCTTGAGGCATTAGATCAAGAGTCACGGGTGCAGAGTACGTTAGATAGTTGGATTACATAAGAATCAATATAGCGATATTATCATTATAACGATATATTCTGCTGGCAGCAAATACATTGTTATAACGGTGCTTTACTGTACTTCGATAGTAACTTTAAATGTACCATTTAAGTCGGACATAGTACCATTTAAAGGATGGCTTTGTCCGGTATAGGTAGTAAATTGCTTCTATAGGCTACGTAAGACCACATACATTTCAGTTAGAATGAAGGAGATGTGTAGGTCCTTCCTATCTAATAGGATGTATAGAGGTTTCTTACGTAGGTTGACTTAACAGAGGAGGCAGGGGATTAAACACAAAGGCTTTCTAAGTAACATGTTATAGTATGTTAAAGAATACTATATTAAGCTGAGCACTGTAAGGACACAGGGCACCCAGCTCACAGTAATAGCATATGAGAGTGCGAGTCGGAGGCTAAACGGATGCTATCCTATAGGTCTACTATGAAGGATACAAAAAAGATGAAGGGGGAACCCCGTTGAGTCTGTTTCCTTGAGTACCCGAAACAGGCCCAACTCGGTTATCCCAACCCTAGCCCTGATCCTTCCACGCAACAGGTCAGCATCGACCCTGAACCCTACACCCTTACCATCCCCCACTATAGTGTAACTCGCTATGTGCTCCTCTACTGGTTCGAAACCACACCGAATCGGATTTCATGCTTGTAGTGACCGTAACAGTTCTGAGACAGGTTCTTCGAGTATCTAGGTAAGGAGGCATCCTTACAACCTTGGACCTCCTTGTCATACTGACATTCGTTGCATTTGCTATCAAACTGAAGAGCAAACTTGGAAATCTCCTCCTCAAACCTACAAGTCACTATACATATTTTGGCTTATCACACCAACAACAAGAGCAATACTACTCAACGATTGCTACAACCATCTATGATTCATTACACGTCATCGCTCCTTAGTTACTGGGCCGATATTACCACATAGCATATCTCTACAACCCTCTATGATTCATTACATGACATCACTCATACTACCACATGACATATCTCTACCAACTAGAGGCCTAGGAGCATGAATGATAGCTCTAAAAGCTCCTACGAACCTCTATGATTCATTGCATGTCATCGCTCCTTAGTTACCCACAAGATTGGTTAAGTTATGACATAATTTGTCTATGACATAATTTGTCTATAGGGGTACTCTGACCTTGGACCTCCTTTTACTTCCTATAGGCTACGAACCTAAGAGATGGTTCTATGGGATTCTCTTACGTCGACTACAGTTACCAAGCCTGGTAAGTCATGGAAAGTCTTGGAGAATGAGAGAACTACATTCCTTTAGCATAAATAGGATTGCCCTTTCCTTAAGAAAGGGCAAGCAGACAATACAGAAAATCGACTAGCACATACTTCTATGTCTTTTCCAAGCTTCCAAGCATTGATCTTGTTATTCTTTGTTTCTGAAAAGTCAGTGAGGTGCTAACCTCTGACTTACCCCTGAGTTCTCAGACTCAACATTTGTTACAACTTATCTAAACCACTCCACTACATCATACACTTGATTGCTGCATTGTGGAATAGTCTAAGCTACGACCCTTTGGCTCTGTTTCCTAAGACAGTGTGTTGTCTTAGTAAAATCATCCGTTCCTGGGTGGCTAGATTCTCACATCTGGTGCACCCACCATTACAAATTGTAACCGCTGCTAAAGTGGTCTAATACTTTAGGCTTGAAGTTGCTTAGTTCTAGCTGTTAATTTTTTGATATATTAACAGACTAGTGTAGTAACATCCGTACGAGCTTGTATTGTTGAATTAAGAAGCTCATTTGCTGCCCGTAAGGTAGTTTCGTTTAGAGGTGAGCTATTTACAAAAAGTTGATTAAAAATATCAAACTAGGTTGGTGTTTTAGGTCTTTCCAACCCATAGGGTTCCTCTTGAACCATCGTTCGAAGCACTCTTTGTAGGTTTAATGGGAATAACCTAGCTCCACGCCATGCTAATTTAATGTTGTGATAATTGCAGACATCTAATTGAGCTTGTATATATGCCTCTATCCATTTAATCTTCTGTATTCATATAAGCTGAGCTTAGTTGAGATGAGAGAGTGCAGTAGTTAATCGCTTCTTTAATAGGCTAAAAATTGCAACATCAGTGTGATGTATAAGGTAGGAGGATGAGGAGCACAATTCGATTTTAAAGACAGTGAGCTATAAAGCTTCTACTAATATAAGAGTCGTGACCATCACAAATGAGAAGGAGATATTAACCATTTGCTTTCGTACGATTCTATTGTTCTAATTGAGAATCCAGATTCATCCATGTTATATGTATTCTCTTGCGTGATTTTATAGTCTTAAACTACCTCTTTTGTAGCCCCGTCCATTCGTACGGACTCAATTCGACGCCTAATAGCAACTGTAAGGTGTGGATGGCCTAGAATAAATCGTAGAACCTAGTCCCGGCTAAGTGTGTACTGTGGGAGTTCAAGAGAGTTGAGCGACGCGTCGTCTAAATCGTAAGTTCGTTTCGTACTTCAGCTATTTCCTTCAACAACCGATGCCCTGGTGAATAGCCACTGATCGTTAACTGTTTTATCCACTTAAGAAGCACACTCTCTTGTTCGGACGAAAGTTTCTGTTGTTGCTGGCGGGCTTGAGAACGCGACAAGCCGCCATTAACGCGACGCGTTACATTCGGACTAAGCCCAAGTTGCTTTGCAGCTTCGTATGAGGACTTATACTCTCCAGATTAGACCCCTAATACAGCTTTAGTAACCTGGGCATCAAGTTCTTTAGCGTTTAGGTTTTTTCGACGCACCATTGTTGAGGAATATATGCTCTTACTCGGTAGTCCGTGTTTGTCATTACGCCACTAATGTCATTACGCCACGACCTACGTTAGTGAAGAGATGGGAAGGTTCAGAGCGATTGACGACAGCGAGGTTGGGTTTGTGGGTGCGTATGGACGGAGTACAGAGGGATTTGTCGGTTACGACCTCGACGCGAAAAAGAGTGATTTCCGGAGGGAAAAGGAAGGAAGGGAATAACGACGAGGGGAAAATTCTCTGTAACAACTTTTGAACGATTTTGATATGCTTATTCTATGTTCTATCATGATTTTTTATATCTACCTCTCTCTAAGGCCGTGGGAGGAACTCGGAGAGCTCGGGATATGTACCACTCTTCCTCCACACCCACCCACACTTATCACAGTGCCCCACGCACAGCTCTACCAAGCCGTAATATCCTCCACCTCCGCCTCCCCAAACGTACTACTCCTCGTAACCCCCCCCACCTCACCCACCGCTACACTCCCCTCCCTCCCCATAATATCCGGCAGCACCTCATTCAGAAACCCCAAGATATGTTCATTCACCTGCTCAAACTGCAACAAAAACGCATCATGACCCTCGGGACTATCAATCCTCCTCAACCTCGCATTGGGGATATGGCTAGCCAGCTCCTCTTGCTCGGCGAAGGTGAAGAGGCCGTCGGACTCGATGCCGAGCACGAGGCAGGGCTGTGTGATTTGTGCCAAAGCGGTGGTGATGGAGGGGGAGCGGGAGCGCGACACGTCGTGTGTGTCGAGCTTGCGGGTTATGGCGATGTAGCAGTTTGGATCGAAGCGGGCGACGAATTTGGCGCCCTGGTAGCGGAGGTAGGATTGCGCGGAGTAGTAGTAGGAAGTTGACTGCCGCGACGCCGATTGGCGCGCCGGGGGCGGAGAGGGGGTCGTGGATGTGGCGCCGTGGAATTGCGGGTCTGTGTGTTGCGGCTCGGGCTGCTTGGGGCTGTCGGCGGGGGTGGTGAGGGCGGAGTGAGAGCGAGAGCGCGAGGACGGGGGACGCGTGGTCTTATGCCCGTCGTTGTGGATTGCCCAGTGCCCCTCTGACGTGGCGGGCGCGGTCTGGGAATCGTTGATGGTCTGCTGGCGGGAAGGGTCGGGGGTGTTGCGGCCGAAGCGCGACTCGAAGGAGTTGCGGGAGCGGTAGGTGAGGAGGGCGGACATGCGGGCGGCGCCCAGGCCGGCGGTGGGGGGGTCCGCGAAGGGGTAGTACCCGTCGTCGTATTTGGGGTCGGCGTAGATGCTCTGGCGTTGGGCTTCGCCCCAGCTGATGCCCCAGGCGCTGTGGCGGCTGGAGGTGGCGATGGGGACGATGCAGCGCACGTAGGTGGAGCCGAAGTAGGCCCATTCCAGGACGAGCATGCCGCCCATGGAGCCGCCGATTACGGCGGCGACTTGCTTGATGCCGAGGTCGTCGAGGAGGAGCTTGTGGAAGCTGGGGGGTGGTTAGTAGGGGGCGACACAAAAAAATGAACGAGACGGTGGCGGAAGTAAGGGGAACTCACTTGACGTCGTCGCGGATAGTGGTGAGCGGAAACTCGGGCCCGTATCGTTCGTTGGCTGGGTTGCCGTCCTTGTTCGTGACGGGGCTGGCGCTCCCGTACGGACTGCCGAGGCTGTTCATGCAGATGACGAAGAAGCGGGAGATATCAAATGCGCGGCCGGGACCGAGCAGCGGACCCCACCAGTCGCTCACATCTGCGCTGCCGGTGAGGGCATGGCAGATGACCATGGCATTGTCGCCATCTGGAGAAAGGGTGCCGCGGGTGCTGTATGCCAGGGGGGCATTATGAAGAGTGACGCCGGACTCGAGCGTGAAGGAGGGGATGATGGCGATGTGCTGGTCTGGGATCAGGGCCGCGAAGGGGTTTTCGGGCTGGGTCTGCGTTCTTTCTTGGACGTATTCAGTCACTGCTTCTCTAGAGGGCTTCACGGGAGAGGGGCAAGGGGGGGTTCTGGGGATTTTTTTGTAACTGACCGAATTTCGGCGCGGAGTAGCCGGTGACGGTGGGAGTGGTCAAGCCATTGGCCTGTGGTGCGTCGGTCATCTTCAGGAGGAGGATGAAAGGGAGAAAAGAACGACTTTCATCGAGTTGAGGGGATTTTAAAAGTGACAGCGAAGACCTTATATATATCCCATCTGAGTCATGGTTACAATTGGACGTTACTCTCTCCCGTACCGCCATACAAAACTTTTAGAAATGACGTGCAAGAAGGCATGTCACGTGACTAATTTATGTTGATACGTAGACAGTTATACTACTCCGCCGTAGTTTTTACTAGTGTACGAGTAAGAGAGCCCGTTAATGTATTAAAAAGCCGAGATACCCTAGTAAATGCCCGTTAAAAGACAAAAAGCCGTTGACAAGACCGTTTGGAATTCAAAGCTCTAGAAATTACTGCTTCCGGACTAGCGCGCCGGGTAACAATTGGAAAGTCGCGAAACTACTCGTTACTCCTCCATGGGCGAGGAACGAGGCACGAGGAATCAAGAGACGTCTCTCTTTGAATTCAATCCCGAATTCCATCTTCACTCTGCATTACAACGCCAACCACTTACTCCGCCACTGCTGAAGCTTCAGCACCGATACAACAAAGCTCTTTGTAGCTATTTCCGTTTCGCAAACAAAAAGAAGGCTATTTCGCCTCACGACTGTCCCTCATCGAGATATCAACGCCCATGTGCACAGCTTCGTCGGGACTTTTCCGTGCTCGCGGTGCGTGAGTGCGCAAGTGCTTGGAGCCCTCGCGCTGTCAATGCCACCGAAGCGGAAGAGATCCGAGAGAGGGTCCGTTGACTCTGGAGAGAATCGCCCGTCGCCGCATCGACCTGGCAATACCAACCTGGGAGGAGGTCCAGGCCGCGAAGTAGATATGCGCGGCGAAGGCGGGAGAGGGAGAGGGAGGGGAAGGGGCAGAGGAGGGAGAGGCGGAGGCAATTTGTCAAGAAGGGAGTCCACGGAGAGCTTTACTAACTCACCCTCGACGCCGGGGCGTGCGATAGGCGCCATGTCTCCTCCACCTCGTCCGACTCCGACACCCTCGCAGCAGCAGCCACAACCTCCTGCGCTGGCGCCTACCCCATTCGCATTCACTCCAGCAATGTCCGCTACACCCGAACCGATGAAAGATCCGAGCCCATACGACTACTCGCATGTCACCAACGAGTGCATCGCGGCATGGACAGCCAGTGGCCGCCAGGAAATTGTCGCTGCTGGTGTACAATCTCTAGACGATCTGGATATTTTGGACCTTTCGACGATCTTTCAAGAGCTCATACGTTCTGGCGTTGATGGTAGATTGAGCCCTGCGGAGGCTGGAAGCTGCGTGCGAGATATTGTCCAACCCGACACTGCCCCCGAGAACCAACAAGACGACAAGATTGATGGCGCTTCGCTCTTCCTGGACTCACTGTCCATCGTTACAGATAATGAGCCATATCAGCCTCGACTACGCAAGCTTGTGGCTGCCACCGGGATATCGACAGCCCTGATGCGACAGATGCTCGATACGCAGCTCCTGCAGAACCTTGAGCTCACAAGAGACACATTCTTCAAAGCTGGTATTCGTCAGGTCACCAATCTTCTCTACCGACAGGCAAACCATAACCTTCTTCGCGAGGAGACAGAGGGCTACTCCAAACTAGTCACGGAGCTCTTCACCACCAGCGGCGGCGAACCTCCAACCAGCGAAGTGGTAGAGGAGACATTTGAGCGGATCAAGGGTCTGATTGGGACATTCGATCTCGACGCAGGCAGAGTGCTGGATGTGACTATGGACGTATTCGCTGCCGTCCTCATTAAGCATTATCGATTTTTCATCAAGCTTCTGCGAGTCAGCTCCTGGTGGCCCCGCGATAATATTCTCCCGGGTGTGGACATTGAGAATTCCGACCTTCCAAAATGGGCTCTCCCAGGAAATTCTGGAGTGATCCCTACCGATAATGAGAAGAAGGACGACGACGGGCTTGACAAGGATGCGCGAGATGAGGCATTTTGGGTCAGGGCAAGAGAAATTGGCATTGATGCATTTTACGAACTCGGAGGCAGGCGGCCGGTCGACCCCATAACAAAAGAACGCATTGCTGCTAGCAAAGTCAATACCGACGATCAATCAAATTCAGACAGGCAATGGATTGAGGCGACGGGTACCCTCCCGCCACTGGGCAACCAGGTTGCTGCACAGTTACTTGGGTTCAAACTACGATTTTATACCTCGACAGCTCGGGAGACGGATGATGTACTTCCAGCCAATCTTATGTACCTCACTGCTCTCTTAATCAAAACCGGATTCATCTCGCTGAGAGACTTGTACCCGCATCTATACCCCCTCGACGAAGACATGGAGGCTCTTAGGACGAAGAAAATGAAGGAAAATGCCGAAAAGGAGAAGCTCAACCGGCCAGGAGGCGGGGCGAACGCGCTCATGATGGCGGGTGCACTTGCCGACGACACACTTCCTGGCGGTGGAAGGATACGAGATATTCCTGGCTCGAAACCCGATGCTGGTGCTGGTGCTCCCGTTGGAGCTGAGGAAGATAAAGACAAACTACCAGAACCTGCTGAACAGAAAGTGCTTCTGCTGATCAACCTCCTTACAATTGGTGCTATCCCGGAGGCTTTGTTCATGCTGGGCCGCTTCCCATGGATACCCGAGGCGTACCCCGAGGTTCTCGACCGCCTCCATCGCATCTTACACCATTCTGTCGAAAAAGTCTTCCAATCTACGAAGCCCTCCAATGCAGATGAAGTTGTGCTGCCTATGAAGAAGCTCTCAGATCAGGATCAATCGAGGGTACCAAAGGGAGACGTACGACGAGTTGAATCCACTCCCCGCAAAGCTCTTCGTTGGCCATTCCCAGCGAAATTTGACGTCGGCGATGGCATTTCTTATAAGTTCTACTGGGACGAATGGGCGGATTCGATACCTGTCTGCCAGACAGTCGACGACATATTTACCTTGTGCAGCACGCTCCTCAACTATTCTGGTGTGAATATCGGCAGGGACTGTGCATTGATGTCTAAACTGGCCAGTATTGGCAACCAGAGTTTGTCAAAGGATACGTCGGAGGCAAACCTGGCAAGATGGCAGGATCTCCTCAAGAGGCTCCTTGTCCCTGCTCTCAGCCACACATCGGCCAACACAAATGTTGTCAACGAAATATACGACATGCTCCGTTACTACCCGGCCCCTCTGCGCTACAACATATATGCCGAGTGGTTTGAAGGACAAACATCCAGGCTTCCCGCCATGACCGCAGTATTCACGCGCGCACGACTGGAGACATTGAGCACCATGAAACGTATCAGCAAGACGAATCTGACTACCATGGCTCGCGCACTGGCAAAGACAGCTTATGCGAACCCGGGAATTGTTTTCAAGGTTGCATTGGATCAGATTGAATCCTATAGCAATCTTACCGAGGTTGTCGTTGAATGCGCAAGATACTTCACCGACTTGGGCTACGATGTTCTCATATGGTCTCTGATGAGCTCCCTTGGTGGAAAGTCCAGAAGCCGTACTCGTGACGACTCTGCTCTTCTGACCAGTAAGTGGCTGATTGCCCTCTCCAACTTCTCCGGAAAGGTATTCAAGCGCTATTCAATTATGAATCCGGCGCCAATCCTACAATACGTCAATGACCAGTTATATCGAGGCAATTCCACGGACCTCATCATTCTACAAGAGTTTATCGCCCAGATGTCAGGTGTTGTTCCTGACACGGATTTCACGGATCCCCAACTCCTTGCGATGACAGGAGGCGAAGTTCTCCGTCGCCAGACATTAATCAGCCTTCAAGACAGGCGATTCGAATTCGTGAAGACGGCCAAGCGATTGATGAAATCGCTCACGGAGACGAGGCTGGCCGGTCAACTACTGATCTCCATCGCCCAGCACCGACAGGCGGCTATTTTCTCTGTTCCAGAAGACGAGGCGCACATCAAATACCTTTCTACCATGGTGGATGATGCACAGCGAATCCTAACCCAGTTCAACGATCTCTTACGGAGCAATCTTACCGTTGAAGAATTCGACAATCTTGTTCCTGATACCTGCGAGTTGATGGTTGATTTCGGCCTTGAGCCAGCCCTTGCCTTTGCCATTGGCAGACCAAGCTTTGCATACAAGATGGCTGACATAGGACCGGCCGAACTTCCCAAAGAAGTCACCGAGACCAACGGCGTGCCCGCGGTGATTGATATCGACGGCGATGTTGGCATGGACGGTGATGCTGCAGATGACGATGTCGACATGATTAAAAACCCTGAGGCTGGAACAACCGACGATGCCGTTGAACCGGCCTCCACCTCGGAAGACCCTTGGTTAGATGTTCTCGCACCTCTCATAGAGTCCGTTCGCGTAGCCTTGCCTGACAAGCCTTGGGGTCTTCTCAATCCTGAATTCTACGTAACGTTCTGGCAGCTTTCGCTCTCCGATATCCAGGTTCCTATGGATAGCTACACCATCGAAAACGCTCGACTGACGAAGGAGATGGCCGAGATCATGAAAGATCGAAGCGATATGAGTAGGCCTGGTATGATTCGCAAGGAGGAGGCAAGAAAGGCCGTTGAAGTCACCAAAGAGGAATTGTTAAACGAGTCGAAAGATCAAATGAGCCAATTTGGCCGCAACAGAGCCCGCTTGAATAAGGAGAAGGGGAAATGGTTCAGCAATGTCAACAAGAGATATGATGCCTTGAATGATACTCTTCTCGAAGAGTGTTTCCTGCCTCGTCTACTTTTATCGCCTAGCGACGCGGATTACGCATTCAAGATGGTTAAGTTCCTACACAACAGCTCGACGCCTCATTTCAGAACTCTCGGGTTACTGGCACGACTATTTAGGGGAAACCGACTTCGCTCGATCATATTCTCCTGCACCATTCGTGAAGCCGAGTGCTTTGGTAGGTTCCTGAAGTTGATACTGGGAGACCTCGCTCGCTGGCACGCAAGCAAGGCTGTCTACGAGAAGGAGGCATGGGGCCCTAACCAAGATCTTCCCGGATTCGCGAAGAGCATACATGAGACTACGTCGAAGCCGGTGGCCCTTCTGGAGTACGAGGATTTCCGCAGGATCTTCTTCGGCTGGCACAAGAACTTGAATACCGCCCTGAAGTCCTGCCTTGGCGGGTCCGAGTGGATGCATATTCG